CTGAGGTTGAAAATCAACTTGGCAGGAAGGTTAAGGCATTAAGGAGGTAGTGAATATGATGCTCTTTTTGGAACCTTATGTTCACAACTTGGAATCATTCAACAAACTACTACGCCTTATACACCATATCAAAATGGAGTTATTGAGCAGAAAAATCGTACATTGAAAGAAATGATGAATGCCATGTTGATTAGCTAAGGTTTACCCTAGAACTTGTGGGGAGACGCAATTCTTTCTGCAAATTATATTTTGAATAAAATACCTCACAAGAAGATTATTAAAACTCCATATGAATTGTGGAAAGGAGGATCCTTCTCATAAATATTTGAAAGTGTGGGGGTGTTTAGTTAAAGTGGCCATTCTGGATCCTAAAGGGGTAAAAATCGAACCTAAAACTATTGATTGCATATTCATAGGATATGCACATAATAAAATCGAACCTAAAACTATTGATTGCATATTCATAGGATATGCACATAATAGTAGTGCTTATCAATTTTTAGTATACAAAAGTGATAGTCCAGATGTGCATGTCAATACTATACTCGAGTCAAGAAATGAATCTTTTTTTGAACATATATTTTCTTGTAAATCAATACAAGAGTCAAATTCTCTTAAACATTCTTATGAAAGTGCATTTGATCATAGTCAAGGACAAATTGAGGAAAATCAAGAAGGAACGAATGAGGAAGAACCTAGACATAGTAAGAGAGCTAGGACTAGTAAATCCTTCGGTCCTGACTTCTTGATTTATCTACTGGAAAATGAGCCTCGAACATTTAAGGAAGCCATGTCTACGCCGGAAGCCATGTATACACTAGAAGCTCCTTTATGGAAGGAAGCTATTAATAGTGAAATTGATTTCTTCTTACAGAATTATATTTGGAGATTGGTGGATCTTCCACCAAGATGTAAGCCTCTTGGATATAAATAGATATTCAAGAGAAAAATGAAACCTAATGGATCAATTGAGAAATACAAGGCAAGACTTGTAGTAAAAGGTTATGGGCAATCAAAGGGAATAGATTATTTTGACACTTTTTCGCTTGTAACAAGAATAACATCCATTAGAATGTTGATTGCTATAGCGACTTTATACAATCTTAAAATACATCAAATGGATGTTAAGACCATATTTTTAAATGGAGATCTGAATGAAGAAATCTACATGGAATAACCAAAAGGTTTTGTAGTTCCAAGGCAAGAAAAGAAAGTGTGCAAGCTTGTAAAATCTCTTTATGGTTTGAAACAAGCTCCAAAACAATGGCATGAAAAATTTGACAATATTATGATGTCAAATGGATTCAAAATAAATGAGTGTGACAAATGTGTTTATGTGAAAGACATAAAAAAGGGATATGTCATTATTTGCCTATATGTAGATGATATACTAATTATTGGTAGTAATAATGAAATTATAAAACCTACCAAGAAAATGTTGAACACTAAGTTTGACATGAAAGACATGGGAGTAGCAGATGTGATTTTAGAAATTAAAATTACTAGAACATCTGATAGATATGCTTTGTTTCAAGGTCATTATGTAGAAAAAAATCCCTAAGAAATTTAATAAATATGACAACCATCTTGCAAAAACCCTTGTGGATGCTAGTCTTCATTTAATGAAGAACATGGGTGAAGGTGTATCACAACTAGAGTACTCCTGAATAATTGGAAGTTTAATATACCTTATGAATTGCACACGTTCTGACATAGCATATGATGTTAGTAAATTGAACAGGTACACGAGTAATCTAGGAAAAGTTAATTGGACAGCCATAATTAGAGTACTTAGATATCTAAGATATACTTGGAATTATGGATTGAACTATACAAGATATCCAGCAGTACTGGAAGGGTACAGTGACGTTAATTAGATATCCGACACTAATGACTCTAAGCCTACTAGTGGTTGTCTTTACCTTGGGAGGTGTAGTAGTCTCTTTGAAATCTTCCAAACAAACATGCATTACCAGGTCCACAATGGAATTCGAGTTTATTGCATTAGATAAAGCAGGAGAAAAAGCAAAATGGCTTCGACATTTTCTGGAAGATATTCCAATGTGGCCCAAACCTATGCCTGCAATTTGCATCCATTGCAATAGCCAAACAACTATGGCTAGGGCACAAAATAATATATATTACAGTAAGTCTCGTCATATACGTCATAGACATAATACTATTAAACAACTGCCCTCAAATGGAATTATTTCCATTGAATATATAAGGTCAAGAGATAATATTGCGGATTCGTTAACAAAAAGTTTGACTAGAGAGCAAGTTATGAGATCATCGAGGGGAATGTGATTAAAGCCTACCAATTAAGAATTGACTTAATGGCAATCCAACCTAGCTAACTAGAGATCCCAAGATCTAGGTTCAAAGGGATAACCGAATTAAGTATGATTCTCGACCATCCCTAAGGAGATAAATCTCCTACCCATTTTCTATGATAACAAGTGATGTCTGCAGCGAGAATTAAGATAAGTTTTACTTTTAATGAAGTTTATATCTTGGCAAACCAAGTAGGGTATAGCAAAATACTCTTAATGAGCATCACCTATATGAGTGTGAACTGGGTTAGTTCTATGAGAATGCTAAGGCTACATTTCTCTAGAGCACTCATGAAAACCAGGTATTGCCCAGGGCCAAAACGAACACAACCAAAAGAACCAAGTTATGTATGAAAACAAAACTGTGTGAAAGCTATTGTCTCAGTTTACACTAACGGCAGAATAATTCAAGACATCATGTTCACTGATCAGCCAGTGAACCCGATAATTTCTTACAAGGGAAGGTTCAAGGCCCAAAGCCACCTATCTTATGCAGGATGTTTTTAGTTTTGTACGTTCTTAATTTAAATGTTGTTGCATTTCCTATTCATCAATTTCAGTCATGTGGCGGATTGTTGGGAAAATGGTTTTAATGTTGATTTTTCAGAAACTTTATGCTAATAATTATGTAGGACCCACAAGTCATTTTTGGAGGGTCCGAGTAGCAATGCTTTTGTCGCCGTGTGGTGAACAAGATTATGTAATTAGTAAGTTAAACCCATTTACAGGTGAATGGAAAATTGACTCCAGAGTGAGGTTCATGAACATTAGACATGTTGGTGAAATTCTCAATTGGTGTTGTATGGTCGTGTACCACATAGAAAATTTAAGGAAAATTTGGAGAAAATATAAGGTCCTAGATTGAACCTTGGGCCTGAACCCAAAGGGCACCCAGAGTGTGAGTTAGGTTGGGTCGGCCCGGTAGTTATCTTTTTGGGCTAAAATTATTTGTTGGAAAATTTTGAATTTCATATTCAAATTTTACGGTGCGGTCCGGCAAACGGACATGTCTCTTTCCGAAAAGGTTCTCTCATTTTCTATTTAATGGCCGTTCCTCCATCCGATTTTCGGCATCAAAATTTTTTCAGATTTTCTACTTTCTTCATCCTCGGTTCATCCTGCATATTCCATATTTTAGAGTTTAAGTTTGAGGGAATGCAAAGCACATACTCTGATTCACTGTACACACAGAGTTAGTGCAAATTATGTGTATGGTGATTGTTGAATCCTGGAGACAGGACACCCGTTAATCTCGAGCACCAGTGAAGAGGGAATTATTATGTCTTAAAGACATAGTGTCTATACACTAGCCTTAATCACAACTTCATACCATTCTTTAATATGTAAAAGGTTGTAAGTCTATTATTTGATTTATTTATTCATATTGAATTAATTTTATCGAAACTATTATTTTCCAACAGATCTATATTCTAGGAGTGTAGATCTACACTTTAAAAGTGTAAAATGAGTCGTTAGAATGTTGTCGGAGGACTGCCGGAGCATTGTTGAAAATCTCTTAATGAAATTATACTTAAATAGAATACCTTTACGGACTCTTCTAAGACACTTGGCTTCCTGGGAGTTGACTCTTGCATTCGGCCGAACGGATAGCGACTAACTCATAAATACAAGATAGCATACACTAACTAATAGAGCTCTTAGCTCTAGCTTTCTTAGAGGCTAACCACCTTCACCTCCTCTACTATGAAGACCTTTAGCTTACTCATAGGTGTGTAAAGGAGTGGTTGCTTATGAGTTACTTGCTTTAGAGGCATCTTTCGCCGAAAAGAAAAACTCGTTATTAACTTGCCTGGACTTGACGTTCGTTTAGCTTTATTCTAGGCAAGAGCAGTAAATATAAATGTTATCAAACAAACCCTTAAATAGTAATTACTATTTTGAGGTGTTGTAGGTAAAATAATAATAATTATTATTATTATTTTAAATTAATGTTTCACAATAATGACTATTTTAAAAAATTAGTAAATTTTAATAAATTAATATTTACATATGATATTTTATTTTTTATAAATCATAACAAGGCAAAATATTGAGGGAAAATAGTTAAAAACTATGTGTCATTAGTTTTATGTATTTAAAATTAATTTAAAATATAAAAGAGAGCACACTTTTCAAGAATTAGAGGTCACCTGTTTAGTGCAAGTAATATTTTAAATAGTAAGTTTATTAATAACAAATAGTAAATAAGTGAATACTAAATAATAAGTATGTTTGTAGTAAGGCCTTGGTTGGCATCTCCTATTGTAGTCAATCTTTTTATTTTTTTAAGTCACATTAATGAATATCTCCTATTTACTTTTTTACACATCTTTTTATAAAAAGTTTAAAAATATACTTATTTAGAACAATAAATTATAAGTTAACATGATTTTTTATTATTTCAAAATTAATCAAAACTAATTTATTTTTTCTATTTAATTTTATTATCAATAAATTGAAGAACTAACATTTGTCTGATAAATCTAATAATCCATAATTTTTTATGTACCGTACATGCAAAATCACTTTCACGTACGGTAGAATTTTCCCTTTTCTCAACACGTTTTTCTCCGCACGTTCTTTTACCGTTTGCTTTTGCAGAGTGCCCACTCTGTTTTTTCTCAACACTTCCTTTCCATTACCGTGTGCTTTTTTACATTATTGACTTCTCTCTCTCTCTCTCTCTCTCTCTCTCCATACATGTCTAGTCCGATGCGTTATTGCATGCATTCTCTTTTCCCATTTCTTGTGTTCTGGTTGTGTGGAGTCTTTCAAATGAATCCATAACTACAACCACCCTCCGATTTGGTTAAACTCTCAAATCAATTCAATTCAGTTCAGTTCAATCCATTTCTAGTGCTTCTTCCTTCTCACAAATTCAGGAATCAATGGCTATGGGAGAGCTCTTAGTCGCCGCTTCAATCAAGTTTCTATTTGAGAAGTTGGCCACTTTAGCCTCCAGCGAGCTGTCAAACTTTGCACGCGGCTTCGGCGGAGAGCGGCGAATTCGTACTCTGTTGACGAAATGGAGCAAAACTTTGGAAGAAATTGAGGCAGTTCTCGTTGATGCTGATGAGAAGCGAGTCACCGAAAGGGGTATTAAGATTTGGCTTGAAGATCTTCAGGACATGGCTTATGACGTCGATGACATACTCGACGAGTTCTCCACCGAAGCTTTGCGACCTAAGTCGATGATCACCACCAAGGTACGTACACTAATTCCAACCAATATTATCAATTCCAAGATCTTTTGGAACGTAGAACTGTGCTCGGCTTGCAAAAGGTGGGTAGTAGTAGTAATGCAGGGACATCTGCTAAAGCTTGGCAAAGACCACCCACCACATGTTTGATGAATGAACCTAGTGTATATGGGAGGGATGACGATAAAAAGAAGATAATTGAGTTTCTCTTACTAGGTGTTGAGGAGTCGAGCAATTGCTGTTCGACAATATTCACTATATTTAAATAGATTAAATTCTGTTGTGTACTAAACAACAATTAGAATATAAAGAAATAAAAGAAATGAGAGAATTTATTTGATTACAAAAATCAAACTAGAAATAAAACAAAATAAATAAAAATAGATTTTATTTTGTTACAAAAATAAAATTAAAATCTGATTTAAATAAATAAATAAAACAGAATAATAAATTATACAACTTAGTTGATTAATTTCTTTGAATAATTATCTGATCAAGTCTAGTGTTTGACACTGTGTCCTTAAGACAGATTCGTCCTCTCCATGGTGCTTTCAGAATTTGGACGTCTATCTTCCAAGATAAAATGATCTACTACAAACAATAGCAGCACTACAAATTGTTTGCCTAACGAACACACTAAGGCCCCGTTTGGGGACTTACCTTTTTAGCCAAAAAGTCAAAAAGTTACCTTTTTAGCCAAAAAGCCAACAGCTCATACCAAAAAGTCAAAAATTCTCTTTTCTCTCTACTTTTTGCACATCTTTTCGTAATTAGCCAAAAAGTCATCCCAAACATATAAGTTTTTTTTACCTATTTTTTTAGCCAAATAGCCAAAAAATTACTAAATTAGCCTGTTTCCAAACGAGGCCTAAGTGTTTATACTCTCTCACAGAAGAAAATAATGCAGCAATATGAAAAGAAATAATGCAGCAATATGAAAAGAATATTTGCAGAATTATGAAGGACGGAATTAGAGTTACAAAATCCAAATGAGGGTTGTCCTATTTATAAATGGAATTATAGTTGTTGGGTTTGAATTAAACAGGTGTGAACCTGTTGGTTTTGAATTCAAATAGATTTGAATCTGTTGGGTTTATAATTCAAACAGATAAAAAATGGGAAGGGCCCTGTTTGGATGTACAGTAAAACCGGACCAGTTTATTTTCCGGTTTAATTTGAATTCTGGATTTTATTTTACCAAAAATAAAATTAAACTCAAATGTTTTTGGCCCAAAAAGATTAGTATTGGGCCGAACAAGCCCAACCCAACCACACACCACGCACCCGCGCCCAAGCCCAAGCCCAGCCCGTCCGGACGGACGGCGGCGGACGCACGTGTGTGGTGATTTTTGGATCCAATGGGTCTACCCCATTTTGTCCATAACCTCTCCCTCTAAAACACTTGGGTACCCCATGGGGCACACCCCAAGTACCAAACCCATGCCTTATAAACCCATTCAAAACTTCCCACCAAATCAATGTGGGACAAGCCTTATTCAATACCTTTAAGGATTCTCCACCAAAACTCCATTTGCACGGAGCATACTTTGGCTTCAATTTCTCATTCACTCGATAATGGTTTTGAGCAACCAAATATACCACGTGAATCACAACGCGGCATAGAACGCGTTACCACTTTGACCCGTGAAAATCGACGCACGGGGCCCACCTAAAAAATAGACCAAACTTAGGAAAAAATTCTGATTTTATCCAGAATTTTATAACCATTTCCAACAATCCCCCACATGAATGGAATTTGATGACAACGGAAATGCAACAATATGCAGACTTTATCGAAAGAGTATAAGTCGAAAATATCTTGCATCAGGATAGGTAGCTTTGGGCTTTGAACCTTCTCTAGTGATAACCTATCGGACTTACTGGCTAACCAATGGACGCGATGCCTTGAATTGTTCAGTCGTTTGTGTAAGCCAAGACAATAGATTTCACACAAAATATCTTCTAACACATCGTGGTTCTCACTGTTGTGTTCATTTTGGCCTTGAACGCCCCTGGTTTTCATAAGTGTTTCTAGAGAATTTAGCCTCTTTATTCTCATAGAACCGGCCCTAGTTTGACACTCATATAGGTGATTTTTATTGTGAGTATCTCCTTACACTCGTCTTGATTTTATGCCTTAATCAAGATATAAGTAATCATTAAAAGCAAAACTTATCCTTATACCCCTGCATACAACATATGTTGCAGATATCACTGTCACCATAGAATGGGTAAGGAATTTTAATCCCTTGGTGATTTCTGGCGAGCCATACATAACTTAGTTGTCCCTTTGAACTTAGTTCTTGGGATCTCCAGTCATATAAGTAGGGTTACCATTATGACGACTCTTATGTAATAGGCTTTAATCTCATTCCCTTCGATGAACTGTACACTAGCTCTTTTGTCAAACCTTTTGTTATCGGATCTGCAATATTCTCTTTAGATTTTATATAATCTATTGAGATTATTCCGTTTGACAACAATTACCTTACGGTATTATGTCGACGAAGAATATATCGTGACTTACCGTTATATGATTCTGTGCCCTACCTATGGCAGATTGACTATCACAATGAATGCAAATAGCTGGCACAGGTTTTGGCCACATTGGAATGTCTTCTAAGAAGTGACAAAGCCATTCTGTTTCTTCTCCTGCTTTGTTTAAAGCAATAAACTCAGATTCCATTGTGGGTCGTGCGATGCAAGTTTGTTTCGTGGACTTCCAAAAAACAGCAGCGCCTCCTAGAGTAAAGACATATCCACTAGTGGATTTTGAATCATTAGTATCCGATATCCAATTGACATCACAATAACCTTCAAGTACTGCTGGATATCAAGTAAAGTTCAAACCATAATCACGGGTGAATCTTAGATATTTAAGAACCCGAATGATCGCTTTCCAATGGTCTTCTCCAGGGTTACTAGTGTACCTACTCAATTTACTGATAGCATAAGCTATATCAGGACGAGTACAATTTATTAGATACATTTAGGCTTCCAATGATTTGGGAGTCTTTTAACTGAAACACTGCATCATCTTTATTTTTTTGATAAATAAAGACTGATGTCTACAGGTGTTCTAGCTAAATTCATATCATCCTTGATAAATTTACCAAGAATTTTCTCAGTCAAATGTGATTGAGATAATGTATATCCGTCAGATGTTTTAGTAATTTTCATTCCTAATATAACATCTGTGATCCCCATATCTTTCATATCAAATCTCTTGTTAAGCATTTGCTTATTTGATTTGATCATGTTTTGACTGCTTCCAATGACAAGCATGTCATCCACATAAAGACAAACTATGACATATCCTTGGTCAGTGCTTTTAACATAGACGCATTTGTCATATTCGTTTATCTTAAACCCATTAGTAAGCATTGCATGATCAAATTTTTTATGCCATTGCTTATGTGCTTGTTTTAATCCATAAAGAGACTTCACAAGCCGACAAACTTTCTTTTCTTGCCCCGACCCTACAAACCCTTCGGGTTGCTCCATATAGATCTCTTCATTTAGATCACCGTTTAAGAAAGCTGTCTTAACATCCATTTGATGTGTTTCTAAATTAAACAACGCTGCTATAGAAATAAGCATGCAAATGGATGTTATTCTTGTCACAGGAGAATATGTGTCAAAATAGTCCAAACCTTCCTTTTGCCTGTAACATTTTACTACAAGTCTTGCTTTATACTTGTCTATTGAACCATCTGCCTTCATTTTTCTCTTGAATATCCACTTATATCCAAGAGGTTTAGAACCTGGTGGAAGATCCACAAATTCCCAAGTATGATTTTGCATAATGGATTCAATTTCATTATTAACAGCCTCTTTCCACAAAGGTGCTTCAGGACCTGCCATTCCTGCCTTAAAGCTTTGAGGTTCATTTTCTAACAGGTATGTCAGAAAATCTGGACCAAAGGATTTTGATGTTCTCGCTCTCTTACTTTTTCTTGGTTCATCATCAGTTAAATCCTGTTGGTTGAGACCATTACTAGTCTCTTGTATTTGATTGTCATTAGTCTCTTAGCTTTGTGTACAATCATAAGTTCTTTTCTGTGAATTAAATTCATGTCCTTTCTTGTAAGGAAAGACATGTTCAAAAAACACAGCATTTCTTGACTCTATAATAGTGTTCACATTTATATCAGGTATTTCTGATTTATAAGTCAGAAACCAATATGCACTACTATTTTGAGCATAACCAATAAACACACAGTCTACTGCTTTTGGTCCAATCTTAGTATTTTTAGGAACAGGAACTTCAACTTTTGCCAAACACTTCCACATTTTTAAGTATTTGTAGGAAGGCGGTCGACCTTTCCACAATTCATAAGGAGTGCTGTTGGTTTTCTTGTGGGGTATTCTGTTAAGAACAAAAGTAGCAGACAAAATTGCTTCCCGCCACAAGTTCTGTGGTAAGCCTGAACTTAGTAACATGGCATTTATCATTTCTTTTAGGGTTCTATTCTTCCTTTCAGCAATTCCATTTTGCTGTGGAGAATAAGGGGCTGAAGTTTGGTGAATAATGCCATGTTGTGCACAAAATTCATTTAATGGTGCATCATATTCACTACCCCTATCACTTCTAATATAAATCAAAATATAACATCCACCACTTGTTGTCTATGATGTGCTAGATTCATAAATTTCAAATCATGATTCATAAATCTCAAATGAAAAATCCAAAATAATTATGACTACACAAATCAGAATTAATTTCAAATCATGATTCATAAATCTCAAATGAAAAATCCAAAATAATTATGACTACACAAATCAGAATTAATGTTTTGACAAAATCATATCCTCATACAAATTTTGCCTAAGAAACGAACAAAACAAAAATCTTATTAGATTGTATAACTTCTTGCAACTCATTTACGAATAAGTAACACTGTCACCAAAAAATATTTGTGACCGAAGAAAATTAAATTATCTCATCTAATGCAAGAGATACACCCCCATATTAATAAAATGTTTTATGATTTAACAAATTCTAC